GCATGCTGTCACCATTGCTATAAGTTCATATGAGCAAGTTCCCAGAAGCCTGGAAAATTCTGTTGTCCTTATAATCATCCACCCCTGACTCTTAAAATTTTTCTGCCCCATCTTCTGCAATGGCTCCTGAGTCCTAGGTGGGTGATATTTTAATATAGGAGTCCTATCCAAGGAAATGCATTCTGCAGGCTCTTATTCTCTACATTTTGGCCATTTGTGGCTTTCTGTGTTAATTGCCCGCTGATGCATGAGGAAGCTTCACTGGTGAGACTTAAGAGCTGCATTAGTCTTCTCTCTACCCCCTGCTTCACTATGTTCTGTGAGCCTTTAGGTGTAGAGGTTCCATTGCAGATGTGTCACTTAGGGCTGGGAATCTCACAGACACCCTCTGTGTTTGGCCAGTTGTGGAACTCTGTAATAGTCACTATCTGTCACAAAAAGAAGCTTCTTTGATAAGTAGTGACAGGTATACTTGTATGTAAGGATTTGGTGCTACGATCCACAATGAGAGAGAACATAAGTTGCTTGTTTTTCTGAGTCTGTGCTACTTCCCTGTGTTTTCAGTTCCATTCATTTACCTAAAAATCTCATGATTTTGTCTTTACCACTGCATAGAATGCCATTGTGTAAATGCACCACATTTTCATTATCCATTCATCAGTTGAGGCCCATTTAGGTTGTTTCCCTTTCTTAGCTACTGTGAAAAGAGCAGCAACAAACATGGATGCACAAGTATCTCTTACAGTAGGATGAGTCCTTTGAGTATATGCCAAGGAGTGATATTATAACAGGACCATATGGTAGATTTAATTTTAGTGTTTTGAGAGTTCTCCATACCTCTTTCCATAGTGGTTGCACCAGTTTGCAATCCCACCGGCAGTAAATGAGTATTTCCCTTTCCCCACATCCTTGCCAACACTTGGTGTCATTTGTTCTCTTGACCTTAGCCATTCTGATTGGGGTAAGGTGAAATCTTAAAGAGGTTTTGATTTTCATTTCCCTTATTACAAATGGATGTTGAACACTTTTTAAGGTTTTTCTTAGCCATTTTTATCTCTTCTTTTGAGAACTTTCTGTTCATCTTTTAATTGGGCCATTTGTTTTCTTGATTCCTTGTTTTTTGAGTTCTTTGAATATTCTGGATATTAATCCTCCCACTCTCTGGGTTTCCTCTTCACTTCCTTGATTGTTTCTTTTGCTGTACAGAAGCTTTTATTCTAATGAGGTCCCACTTGTCAAATGCTGATCTTAATTTCTGAGCAACTGATGTCCGATTTAGAAATCCTTTCTTACACCTTTATCTTGTAGGTCACTGCCTGTGTTTTCTTCTAACAGTTTCAGAGTTTCAGGTTTCATCTTGAGGTTTTTAATCCATTTGGAGTTAGCTTTTATGCATGGTGATTTATAAAGGTCTAATTTCATTCTTTTACAGGTGAGATCCAGTTTTGCTAGCACCATCTGTTGAAAATTCTGTCTTTTCTCCAGTGTGTGTTCTTGGCACCTCTGTCAAATATCAGGTGGCTGAAATTACATGCACTCATATTTGGATCTTCCATTTTGTTTCATTGATCTACATGTCAGTTTTTGTGCTTGTACTATGCTGTTTTTATGACTATAGCCCTGAAATAAAAAAAATTGAGATCTGGCAGCATTGCACTTTTAACTAAGGATTGCTTTGGCTATTTGGGGGTCTTTTGTGATTTCATATGAATTTTAGGATTGTTTTCTAATTTTATGAAGAATGTCATGGGGGATTTTAGTTGGCATTGCATTGAATTTATAAATAGTTTTTGGCAGAATGGTCATTTTCACGATATTAATTCTATCAGTCCAGGAGCAGAGGAAGTCTTTCCATCTTCTTGTGTTTTCCTCAATCTCTATTTTCAAAGATTTAAAATTGTCATTGTAGAGATCTTTAATGTCTTTAGTTAGGTCTATTCCTAAATATTTTATTTTTTGAGGCTACTGCAAATGGGAGGGTTTCCATGAATTCCTTCTCCTATTGCTTTTTATTAGTATACAGAAAGACTAATGATTTTTGTAAATTGATTTTGTAACCTGCCACTTTGCTGAAAGTGTTGATCATTTCTAGAAGTTTTCTGGTGGAATTTTTGGGATCTCTTATGTATAATACCAAATCATGGACAAACAGGGATAATTTGACTTCTTTTCTAATTAATACCCCCTTTAATTTTCTTCTCTTGTCTTATTGCTCTAGCAAGAGCTTCAAGCACTATATTGAAAAGGAGTGAGGATAGTGGACAGCCTGTCTAGTTCCTGATTTTAGTGGAATTCTTCCAGTTTTCCTCCATTTAGAATGATGTTGACTGTGGGTTTGTTGTATATAGCTTTAATTACATTGAGGTATGTTCCCTTCAGTCCAATTCTTTCTAGGACTTTTTTGTCTTTTTGATACAGGGTCTCCCTGTAGCCCCAGCTGTCCTGGAACTCATTATGTAGACCAGGCTGGCGTTGAACTCACAGAGATCTGCCTGCCTCTGCCTCCTGAGTGCTGGGATTAAAGGCGTGGGCCACTGCACTGGGGTCTTTCTAGGACTTTTAACACAAATGCATGTTGGATTTTGTCAAAGGCCTCTTTTGCATCTATTAAGATGATCATGTGATTTTTTTTTCTTTAAGTCCGTTTATATGATTTACTGCATTTATTGGCTTACGTGTCTTCAACCATTCCTGCATCTCTGGAATAAAGCTGACTTGATCATGGTGGATGATCTTTTTGATGCATGTCCGTATGCAGTTTTTGAGTATTTTGTTGAGAATTTTTACATCTATGTTCATTAAGGATCTGGGTCTATAGTTTTCTTTTTTGTATGTCTTTAACCTAGTTTGGGTATTGGAGTAATACTGGCTTCATTGAAGGACTTGGGGGTTCTCTTTCTTCTGATCCTATCTCTTTGAATAATTTAAGTAGTGTTGGTTGTAGATCTTTGAAGGTCCAATAAAATTCTGCTGTGAATCCATCTGAGCCTGGGCTTTTTCAGTTGGGAGGCTTTGTATTACTATTTTAATTTCCTTATTTGTTATGGGTCTGTTTAAAGTATTGGTCTCTTCTTGGTTTAACTTTGGTAGATCAATTGAATTTAGCAATTCATTTATTTTAGATTTTCAAATTTATAGAGTATAGTATTTTAAAGTATTCCCTTATAATGTTCTGGATCTTTTTGGTGTCTGTTGTGATGTTTCCCATCCCATTTCTGATTTTGCTGATTTGAATTTACCCTTTATTTTGATTAGCTGGGCTAAGGGCTTGCTTATCTTGTTTATTTTTTTCAAAGAATCAGCTCTTAGAGTCATTGATTCTTTGTATTGCTTTCTCTGTTTCTAGTTCATTGATTTCTGCTCTGATTTTTATTATTTCTTCTTATCTGTTTGGTTTGGGTTTGGCTTGTTTTTGCCTTTCCAGATTCTTAAGTTGTACCATTAAGTCATTTATGTGTACTTTTTCTGACTTTGATGTAGGTGCTTAGAGATATGAATTTCCCTCTTAGGATTGCTTTTAATGTGTCCCAGAGGTTTTGTTGTGCTACCATTTTAATTTAGTTCCAGAAATACTTTTATTTCTTTCTTGATTTCTTCTTTGACCCATTCATCATTTAGGAATATATTGTTTAATCTCCATGAGTTCCTGTAGTTACTAGAGCCTCTTTTGCCATTGCTTTTAAATTTTATTGCACTGTGGTCTGATAGACTACATGGGATTATTTCAAATTTTTTATTTTTAAAAAATATTTTATTTTTATGTGTACACGTGTACTGCCTGCATGTAGGTAAGTGCACCTGTGTTGTGCAATGCCTGTGGAGGACAGAAGAGGCTGTTGGATCACCTGGAACAGGAGTTATGGATAGTTGTTAGCTGCCATGTGGGTGCTGGGATTCGAACCTGGGTCTTCTGCTAGAACAGCCAGTGTTTTTAACCGCTGAGCCATCTCTCCAGCCCCTCAAATTTTTTATTTTTGCTGAGGTTTGCTTTGTGCCCCAGTATGTGGCTTATTTTAGAGACGCTTTTATGGGCTGCTGAGTAGAATGCGTCTTCTTTAGTGCTTGGATGAAATACTCTGTAGACGTCTGTTAGGTCCATTTGATGTATGGTATCATTTAATTCAGATGTTTCTCTGATTATTCTTTGGCCAGATGATCTGTCTGTTGAAGAAAGTGGGAAATTGAAGTCACCTACTATTACTGAGTTGGGGTTAATCTGTGTCTTGAAGTCCAACAGTACTGTTTTTATGAAACTGGGTGCACCAGAGTTTGTTGTGTATATATTCATGATTGTTGTGACTTCTTGGTCGATTGTTAACTTGATCAGAATGTAGTGACCTTCCTTATCTCTTCTGATTAATTTAAAATTGAAGTTCATTTTTTCAGATACTATAATAGCAAATCTTGCTTGTTTCTTAATGCCATTGCTTGGAATATTTTTTTTCCATCCTTTCACCCTAAGGTGGTGCTTATCCTTGGAGATAAGGTGAATTTCTTGCAGACAGTAAATTAGTGGATTTTGTTTCTTTAAAAAAAAATATTTTGGGGCTGGAGAGATTGCTCAGTGGTTAAGAACACTGCCTGTTCTTGCAGAAGACCCAGGTTTGAATCCCAGCACCCATATGGCAACTAACAACTGTTCATAACTCCAGTCCCAGGGTATCCGACAGCCTCTTCTGACCTCTGCGGGCATTGCACAATAAATAAAATATTTTCTTTAAAATATTTATTTTTTAAATTTTTATGTATATCGCCTGATATATGTAAGTGCACCCATGTTGTGCAGTGTCCATGGAGGTCAGAAAGAGGACATCTGATTCCCTGGAACTGGAGTTTCAAATGGATATTAGCTACCATGTGGGTGCTGGGAACTGAAACTTTGTCCTCTGCAAGTGGTGCTCTGAAGAATATTGGATACATTTACATTTTTATTACATTTATTTATATTTTAAATTTTACTACATTTATTTTAAATGTCTATTGCATTTATTTATTGTGTGTGTGCGTGCATGTGTGTATGTGTGTTTGTGTGTGTGTGTGTGTATGTGTGTGTGTGTGTGTGTGTGTGTGTGTATGTGTGTGTGTATGAGCCATAGTGCACACATGGAGGTTCAGGGGGCAATTTTTAGGAGTACATTCTCTCCTTCTACCACATGGATCCTGGGGATCACACTCAGGTAGTCAGGATTCTCAGCAAGCACCTCAACCTACCGCACCTTCTCACTGGTGGTGCACGCCTTTAAGCCCAGCACTCGAGAGACAGAGGCAGGTGAATCTCTGTGAATTCAAGGCCAGCCTGGTCTACATAATGAGTTTCAGACTAGCTGGGGCTACAGGGAGACCTTGTCTCAAAAAAACAAAAAACAAAAAATTATTTAATTGTTTACATATTCATTTATTTATTTAATGTGAATGAGTGCTTTGCCTAAATGAAAGTGCACCCGTGTCATGCAATGGCAACCGAGGCCAGAAGAGGGTGTTAGATCCCCTGGAACTGGAGTGCTATGTAGGTGCTGGGAATGGAGCTGAGGTCCTCTGCAAGAGCAGCCAGTGCTGTTAACCACTGAGCCATCTCTCAAGCCCTGCTGGCCTATTTATTTATTTAGAGACAAGGTCCCATGTATTCCAGGCTGACCTTGAACTTTCTATGTAGCTGAGGATAACAAAACTTCTGATCTTCCTACTTCCACCTTCCAAGTGCTGGAATTTTAAGTGTGACTCACCACACAAACCTTATGTCGTGTTGTAAATCAAACCCAGGATTTCTTATATGTGAGGGAAGCACTTTACCAACTTTTCTACATATCCAGACCTAGAATAACTTTTTAGTGAATTTAAACAAATATACAAGTAAACTTGAGAGCGTGGTTGACTTTTAAATACTTTATCTGCTTTTCTCATAACCCTGCAGATCTCCTCTCATTTTCTCTATCCAAGCAGTCTCTGCCAGTTTATGTGCTTGGATACTCCCCATAGGGTTCACTCTGCCCCTACCTTCTGTTCACCAGGTTGGAACATATTCCAGATGTCCCTGGCCAATATCCACATACTCACCAGAAATCCAGAGGTGCTGTCCAGCAAGCAACGTACACGGCAGATGAAGCAGCGTGTCAGAAAGGCCGAGTACTCCGAGGGTGAGCCCTTACCCTCTTCCTGGGCCCTGAGAAGCTTCCCCAGGATGCTGTTATCTGCCAAGATAATGTAAAGGTATGGTGGTGAGGCATGGCAGCCTAGAGCCATGAAGGTATTGGATAAGCACAGGAGGAACATGTAATGGCCAGCCATGAAACTTGTAACAAACAGGCCACCCTAGCTGGAACACACAAGTCTCCACAAATCCACAAACCTTCGCTATCCTCTGTGGTGTCAAGAGGCAGTACTCTGGTGGATTTTGCTTTCATTGTCCCTGCCTTTATAGGCATTGTTTTTTGTTTTTTAGCACTGGTATATGTGTAACTATGGGTTAGTGTGGTGGTTTGAATGAGAATGCCCCCCCCCACACACAAAAGAGGTGCCTTATATATGAATACTTGGCCCCGTTGGTGATGCTATTTGCAGAAGTTTAGGAGGTGTAGCCTTGCTGGAGGAAACACATCATAGGGGCAGGCTTAAGCTTTGCCCCATTTTTAACTCAATCTTTCTGATTCCTGAGCCTGCTTGAAGATGTGCGCTCTTGGCTTTCTGCTCCAGCTGCCTCCTACCATGCCTCTCTGCCATGATGACTTCTTATCCCTCTGGAGCTCTAAGCTCAATAAACTCTTCCTTTTATAAGTTGCCTTGGTTATGGTGTTCATCGCAGCAACAGAAAAGTAACTAATGCAAGTCAGTTTCTTAGTGTTGGTAGGGCTGTATAAACGATATGGCATGTGGATGCCTTGGATTTAAGGTGAATGATGCTGTTGCATATTGAGGCTGGGTAGACACTTTGAATTATTTAAAGTTCTTTAGATGTGTGAGAAAGAAACAGGAAGCCATCCTCTGCATGGACACTTGGGTAATGTCACCCCTTAGAACATGCATGCATCTGTCCCCTCCAAGGCCACTGTCACCTGTTACTTATTGAGTTCTATGCCCAACTCACCTTTATCAGTCAGGTACAATGGGTTTGATGGGGAGTGGTTTGCAGGGTCTAGTACACAGAGGACAGTACTACCCTGAAGGGTCTTTTTTAAGTTAAATCTAAATTGGGCCAAAGAAGCTGCCTGGCATATATGAGACGAGAGAGTTCATAAAAACAAGTGGAAAGTTCTTTAGTTCTTCAGTGGTGTCAAGAACTGGGAGTAGCAAAAGTGGCAGAACCCTGTTGCCTGGATCTTGAGTATTTCCCAGAGGCTATGTGCTAAAGACTTGGTCTTCAACCTATGATGGTGTTGTGTGGTAGTGGAAAGCTTGTGGTGGTGGGGGTCCTAGGGCACTGGGAACATGCCCTTAGGGGAGGATAGTGGGACCCTGTTATGATTTAAAATGATGTGTTTGGGTGTCAAGTTGACAAGTAGTTGATGAAGAGTAGAGTTGTAATTGTTAATCTTGATTGTCACCTTGATTGGCTCTAGAATCACCTGAGATATAAACCTCTGAGCATGTCTTGGGGGAGATTTTAGATTGGATTAAATGAGGTGGGAAGATCCATCTGAGACATGAGCAAGTCTATTCTACGGGCTGGGGTCCTAAACCAAAGAAAAAGGAGAAAATGAGCTGAGCATCAGCATCCATCTCTCTCTGCTTCCTGACTGTGACACAGCTACCTTGTACTCCTGCTGCCATGGCTACCCTGCCATGATAGACTATATCTGGAACTGTGAGCCAAAGTAAACCTTAAGTTGCTTTTGTCAGGTATTTTGTTGCAGCAACAGGAAACCGACCCCAACCGCTTTCTTGTTCTCTCTGTGAGCAGGGCAGTAGGTAAGGGGCTTTGCTTCGCCAGGCACTCCTAACCGTCACATGCTGCCCATCGCCAGAAGCCTCCAAAACTATGAACAAAAATTAACTTTTTCTCTCTATGAACTGAGTATCTCAAGTATTTGTCATAGTGAAAAGCAGAGTAGAACATGGCCAGCAAGATACAAAGGCCCTCAGCACTAACAGTCTGGAATGAATCAACTGCAGGCTAAGGAGCGTTGGGAGGAAGACTCCAGAGAAAGTGGAATCCTGGAAGAAATCGCATGTGTAGATAGAGGAAAGTGAGGGTGTCGATGGGATTGGCTCACCTGCCTCAGCATGTGGGGGGTGTCCAAACACTGCCTGTGGAGGGTCCATGGCCCAGTGCAGTTGCCGGCAGAAGTCCTGACGGTCATCCACATGGATGTAGTCATAAATGTTTTGGTGCATTACATCTGTCTGAAATACAAAAACAGCAAATAGCAAAAACAGTTGCTTTAGTCTCATCCTGAATTTACATGTGTTACCTCTAGGTCTCTCCATTCTATGGCCCCTAGGCCCTGGCCTGCTTGGCGGTGCTATTGTGCCCTCATGACCATGGACACTTGGGCAGAGGCATCCTCCTTACTAAATAACTCAAGTACTTCGTGTTTCATATCAATCATGCCACATACCTCAACCTGCGCAGGTCCATGATGCCTCTAGGCCCCATTGGATCCCGAGCCTCTCTCTGGTCCTCTTTCCTCTAATCTTCTCAAAGTAAATCTTGCCCTGATGGCAAGCCAACATTTGCAGGCACTAGAATTCTCACTGGGTTGCTATCTAGCAGTGGATAGAACAGAAACCATGCCTGCAAAGACTGACTTCAGGGTCTTGACTGTGCCGTGTGCAGATAAATCACTGAAGGTACGGCCATGTAACCTCTGCCCCATCCCCTCCTCATAAGGAAGAATGCAGTTCATATTTTGCACTAGGAACCAGCCCATTCATGTAAGTTCCAGAAAGGTCTCTATGGGGCTAGACTCTCAGAACTGGTCTGCCTCTAACTGTCATTGTTTCCAACTGGATGATTATGATAACTAGAATATTTTTTTTTTCCTAAAGGGCGAAAAGTCTCTTAGCAGCCAAGACTTTAGAAAAAGTTACTTTTTAAGAATGTAACTAGCAGCCTCACCCAGAGTGCATGAAATCCCCCATCTTTCTCCAGCATCCTCAGAATTGCCTATAACTTTGTGGCTAAGTTCTGTGGCACCCCAGATAACAAGCAACAAGCAACATACACCTTCAGGGAGGAGGCAGAGGTGTGTGTCCATAGCCATGCATTGGATTCAGTGGCAGGCAGTCTAAAGAGAACATTTCACACAAAGAAATTCTCAGAGTCCAGAGAAAAGGCAGGTTGAACTACACATAAAGGGATACTGGGTTCTTTAGAGTTTGCCCTCCTGCGTAGTATCACAGTTGTGAGACTGGCCCATGTGTGGTGACATCAATTTCATCTAGTGGTGTTTCACTATGTGACCACTCTTACACGTACATCTCCTAATTCTGCCCTGCTATCTTCTATAAACATCTATCGTCCCCTTGTTATTTACTTTGAACGTGGTACAAGGCAGGAGATGAAATTGCTCTCTCTGGCTTGGATTCAGTTTACCCAGTGCCAGTTGTCTAGGAGACCCATTGTGGTCAGTGCCCTTCAGAGCTCTATTTACCCTAACCTTACGCCCATGGCACTACTTCCTTATACACGTCAACACTTCCTTATGCCAACTGACACAAACTCTTTATATTAACAGTGAGATAACTGCACAGTTTCTGCCTGCAGGAAGTGAAAATGGTTCAGCCTCAGTCTGCTCTAGGAGTTGATGTCATCTCAGGGAGGACAGACCAATTCTGACTAATACATTTCTTCACTTTCAAAGTCTTAATTGTTCTTTTTTCATTACAGGATGTGCTCTCTTTATATTGCTTTTTAAAGCTTTTGCTACTTCAATTTTTGTTACATTTATGTATTGTATATGTGGGAGGGTGTGTGCATGTGCTAGTGTGCACATGTGGAGGTCAGAGGACAACTTGTGGGACTTGGTTCTTTCCTTCCACCATGTGGGTCCCATAGGTCATGTGGATCAAACATAGGTCATCAGTCTTGGCAACGAGTGCCTTTACCAGCTAAGCCATCTTTTCAGCCCCTTCTATTTTAAATGTTTTTATTGTCTAGCTTCTTTCAGTGTCTTCTTGTCTTGAATTGTTCTGGGAGGGAGACCATGCATTTACTGTCTGCTGGCTCTTGTTGCCATCCATGGCTTGGCTTGTGTGTTTAGGACTTTGTTGTGAACTCATCTTCAAAGGGGATGTTTCTGTGGAGTCGAACACAGCTGAAGGGCCCCAGTTCTGCTTCACTGGTGCCCCAGTGAGTTCATCTGTCAACCTTGGGTTAGTTTCCAGATTGGGAGCCCCACTATGCATCAGTTGTCATGAGTGTATTATGCCAGAAACAAATACACATTTGTGTCTTTCCAAAATGTCAGAATTTATCCAATAATAAATTCACAAGCTCTATCAGTTTTGTTGACTAAAATTTGTCCAAGTTGTTCCAGTTTCCCTTGAGAGCCAGCAGTTGGAAAACATAGGTTCCTTTATTCCAACCTTAATCCTAATACTAATTCTCAGGCCACACATCATGCAGTGACTCTATCATTTATCTATCTATCATCCATCTATCATCTATCTATCTATCTATCTATCATCTATCTATCTATCTATCATCTATCTATCTATCATCCATCATCTATCTATCATCCATCTATCTATCATCTATCTATCATCATCTATCTATCTATCATCATCTATCAATATCATCTATATCACCTATGTACCAATCATCTATCTATCTATTTATTTATCTATCATCTATATCATCCATCTCTCTATCATTTGCCCATCATCTATTTATGTGTAGGCTATTGATTGGCTACAAAAGTGTTAAAGAGTTCATGGCAAAGTACAAGGAGTTCAAATAGGCCTTACTGGAGGTAGACGCAGAGAGTTGGTACAGATACAAAGACAATTTCTGCAGTGGGTAGATAAGACTGATAACTGAATTGGACAGCTGTTTGGAAGTGTGCAGAGCTAGGCAGGGTTGCAGGACTCAGCTAGGCCTAAGAGCTGAGTTGAACTGCAGAGGCCAGGTTCAGGACCCTAGAGGACATAGAGGTGATGTGCAAGACCATGTTCAGATGAACAGATGGATGGATGGATGGATGGATGGATGGATGGATGGATGGATGGATGATTAAATCTGATTAGGCCAGGTCAGCAATGGGGACCAAGCTGAGACAAAACCCTGAGGACAGCTGGGAACTCTTTATCAGGCCCTTGATGCACATATCAGATGGTCAGATTATAGGTGAGTGGGGGTCATCACTTTTGCAATTTTAGGTATGTGTCCTTTTCTTTTGGGGGTCCAGGTGAGGATGCTGCATCCTTCTTTAGTCTGGTTTGTTAAATAAGTTCTCAGGCCTGGGTTTTCTGATAAGGCTTTTTATACACCCATATTCTCAAAGGTTCCTAGTCTATTTTGATAAGTTCATGTGTGGCACCTTTTTACTTTTAGGAATAGGTTATCAGTTCATGCCTCATGGGTGGACTGGGTAGATGGTGAAGTCTACATGCACAGTGAGGTACACAGTCACCCTGCCACTGCATATGAACTACAAATGGTGCCAAATGCTGCTTATAAAATGGAGTCATCCAGGAAAAGGCACAGCCTGACAGGCACTGTATTTATATAATGTGGAGTAACTTAGAGGAGGGCACAGCCTTGCTTCCACAGCAGTGCAGATCTGGGTTCTCACTGGAGCTAATTTGCCATTGAAGCTTCTTTCTGAGTTCAGATAAAAGACAGCTTCCCTTATTACTTTCTGAGCCTTGAGTGGAATGTCTTCTTGTACTTGTTTGTAGATGAAACTAGACCTCCATGGTCTAGTATTTGAGGCATCTGTGCTCCAGCCCTTTGCCCTATGGTCTGTAATCATCTAACCTGGGCTGGTCAAGTCCAAATGAAGAATTTTTATTGATGCTGAGTTGAAGGGTATTTCTAGAATAAACTATATCTGAAGTGTGCCAAATATCTGAAGTTTAAGACATGGAATTACCAGATGAGATGGTGCTGCCAGTGGTGCTCAGAGTATAAGAAGCTGAGTGAGGATAGAGTCGCAGTTCACTCAGGGTCACCTGGCACCATGTCACTCCACTGAGGATGAAATATCTGTGCCCTAGGCAAAGCTGGGTTGTGTGGTGTGAAAAGCTTGATGCTAAATATTCTTAAACCTTATAAACATTACACATTTGCAAAGGTGACAGAACCCAGTATTTAACTGACTAAAACTGTTTTTGCTTCATTTACCTGGTGGAAGCCCAGATAGTCCACAATCGTTGCTGAAGCATAAAAGATCATCCCTTCTGCACTCACCACCAGAGCAAAGCCATTGAGAGACTGGGGAAAAACAAAGAAAGCTGAGTTGGCCGACCCCAAATGAAAAGGGCAAGGGGTGGTTTTGTGTAAACGTCCACGCGCTCCTCTTGTTTGGTTGTCTGTGCTCGGCATCTCCAGAAATTCCAGTGTGAGCCCTTCTTGTATCAGGTAACAGAACAAACTGATCATGGTCTGTGAAGCCGAAGACCTGAATCTCTCCAGGGAACATACATGTGTGTTTAATTAAATATAAGCAACATATAATATACAATGATATAATGAGGTATCACAACATAAAGAAAAATGTGGTCCTTTTGTTTCACTGTTCGGCGTGCTTCACCCACGTGTAAACTTCTCTATGTGCTATTTGGGACATTTTCAGCCTTTCTAAAAATTTTTGTATATATTCTCTCTTAATATTGGTGTCAAGTAAAAAAGTCACCCCCAAATGGTTCCTTCCCTTTTCCTCCCGATCTACTTATCTAGGACAAGAGCAGTATGTACCTTGACAGTCTGGTTTATCTCATAAATCATCCAACTTGGGCACATTTGGGAGATGGTGGGCACAAAGGACTACATTTTAATGTTCATCAATTCAGTGGCTATTAGTATATTCAAGTTTTCTATCTTACATGTTCATAGATACATTCCATCTTAACTACCATGTTCATATTTTATTATAATAAAATCTCAGTTGTAGCTACAATTGTGGGTTCTTCAAAGCAGATGATTGTACTGCGCTTGACTTACCATCTCCTTTTGTTGAAAAGCAAAGAAAATTCCTCATTTCTTTTCACAGTGGCTTCCCAGAATTATCACCAACAAAGATGTGCAACACACCGAGAGCCACTTACTGTCATAATCAGAGAGTATTCTGCATCTGTCATCTATCATCCATCCATCCATCCATCCTCTATCTACTTACCAATCATCTAGCTGTCACCTGTCTATATAATACAGCATTTTCATCTATCTGTCATCTACCTATGTGTTATATATATATATATATATATATATAATCTGTCATTTATCCTTCCATTATCTGCATCTACCTACCTACCTACCTTTGCCTCTGTCACTATGAAAAAGATAGTAAGAGGAGGGTTTGATGAGCATTAGGCATGCTAGGTGGAGTATCCCACTCAATCTCATCTCATCCAGTAAGGTCAAAACATTTGACTCCACCTGAGCAGAATCTAGAGTCTGGTCTTAGTCATCTAGACAGTGGCATTCATAATTGTTTCAGTTTGTATCTCTGAAATGCAAATATTTGGAGAATGTAAATATCATGGCATTGTAAGATTTATTTCCCCCTTACTTCTTGAATATTCTAGGTACTCCCTACTTTTCTGAAGTTACTGTCAATTTGTTAGGTGATAAATTACTTTACTATTATAGTTTTCATTTCTTTGCTAATGAGATGGAAAACATTTCAAGTATTCATTGATAACTTGTATTTCTTCCTTGGTAAATGGCCAAAGCATGTCATGTACCGACTTCTCTATGGGTGGTTATACAGGTGGTTAGTGTCACAGTGTGCGTAATCAGACATGCCAGCACTGAACCCCAGGAATCTGAAAGGTGTTCCAAAAGAAAGAAGTGATAACCACACTTGAAGACATGAAAGAAAAGCCAACTGCGTTTCATGGAAGCAGACAGAAGAACAAATAAAAATGAGTGAAAATCAACGAAAGCAGTTTAGAATGTCAAATAACAAAGGTCACCTACAACATCAACATTTTGTCTTTACAATTTTTATGGTTGAAAACTCCCAACAGACTCTTTAAGAAAAAAATGTAAGTTTCAGGCCGGGCATGGTGGCACACTCCTTTAATCCCAGCACTTGGGAGGCAGAGGCAGGCGGATCTTTGTGAGTTCGAGGCCAGCCTGGTCTACATAGTGAGTTCTAGGACAGCTGGGCTACAGGGAGACCCTGTCTCAAAAAGACAAAAAAAAAGTAAGTTTCTGACATGAGGAATTTACAAACCCTACAAATCTTAAAGAGATTATAAGGAAATATTGAGTGATATCCAGCAAATTAAACAATTTAAATAAAACAGGCAAATTCTTTGAAATATATGACTCAACAAAAGTGATAAAAGAACTAGAAAATCTAATACAACAGTATGCATATTTTGTTTGTCTGATTTGGGGAGCTAGGGCTAGAACTCAGGGTCTCACACATGCTAGGCAAGTTCTCACTACTGAGCTTCATTTTCAAGTCTGCCTAATATCTATTAAATAAATTGAATTTTTAATCAAAAGTTTCCCACAAAAATATTCACAGTACACTGACAAATAACTTTATCCAGAATATATAAAGAGCTTTTACAAACCAACAATAGCTGAAAAACTCAATTTTTAAAAATGAGCTTTTTAAACCCAATTGTTTTAAATGAAAAAAAAATTTAAGCCAATACTTAAATGTTAAAAGAAAGAGTAATGGCCATAATATATAGTAAAATGTGTTCAGGGTCACTAATAATAAAAGAAATGCAAGCTAAAACCACATGAAGATGTTTTTTGACACTGTGAGGACAACTTCTAAGAGACTGAGAACAAAACCACAGAGGAGTGCAGGAGCAGAGCTGCTGGAAATGGAAACATCCTCAGAGGCGCTGAAAGTAAACACACGTTCTCCTTAGGTCCCAGAAATCCACGATGGGACTTTGTATGCTTAATCATTTTCTATTTTATTAAAATTAATAGTTAAAATGGTGTAACTACAACTTACTATATGGAATCTGGAATATGTCATAACCTTCTTAAATGTGTATTTACCTTACTTCCTTTAGGGAAGGGAAATTTTCTTATGAAGGCAGGACACTTCCAACACTAAAGACAATGACTTTTTGATAATACCCCAAGAGTGAATGCAAAAAAAAATTAGAAAAGTGGGATTCTATATTCTGTCAAACTGAGAACGTCTGCCAACGTTGCCAACAAAACAAAACAAACAAAAATCAGTCAACGGACAGCAGAGGCAGAAGACAAAGTCAGAAAGTCTCTGCAGAAACCTCTGACAAAGATGAAGATCCAAGGAACTCACAGCTCAGCAGTGAAAAGAAAAACATTTGATTTAAACACATGCAAATGATTTGAACAAACATTTCTCAAAAGAAGATAGCAAACGGCTGATATGTACATGAAAAATGCTCATCATCACTGATCAGGAAAATGCAAATCCAGCCATAGTGTGTTGTCATTTCATCCTAGCTAGAGTAGCTACCATTAAAAAGACTAAAGGTCCAGATGTTTGAGGGATGTCTGTGCAGGTAAAGGCCTCTGTCACTAAGTCCAACAACCTGAGTTCAGTTCCTGAGACCTACAACGTGGAAGGAAAGAACTGATTCCTCAAAGTTGTCCTTTGACTTCCATATATGTGCTGCCACATGTATACCCATATGCACACATGTGCACTCAGTAAATATAAATAAATAGCTGGGCATGGTGGCGTATGCCTTTAATCCCAGCACTCGGGAGGCAGAGGCAGGCGGATCTCTGTGAGTTTGAGGCCAGCTTGGTCTCCATTAGTGAATCCAGGCCAGCTGCGGCTACAGGGAGACTTTGTCTCAAAAGACCAAAATAAATAATAAATAAAGTAATAAAGTAATAAAAATAGAGGGTTTTTTTTAAGGTAACAGGCACTGTCAAGGAAGTGGAGAAAAGAAAGTTTCCAAACACTCTTAGTAGGAATGTAAACTAGTGTTGCCATTATGGAAAACACTATGGAGTTTCCTCAAAAAGCTAAAAATAGGATAATGGTGTATCTAGCAATAACCCAAAGGAATGAAATCAGTGTGCTGAGAGACATCTGCACCTCTCTGTTCATTGAAGCACTATTCAAGGCACTGAGAGATGGAAACAGCCTAAGACATCACTGGCAGAATGAATGGGTGAATAAACACAATAGAGTACCATTCAGCTGTAAACAAAACAAAACAAAAATAATGAAATCCTGTCTATGATGGTTATCTTTGGATATCGATTTGATCAGATCTAAAATCTATTAGGACATAAGCCTCCTGAGCACCTTGTGAGGGATTATCAATATCAAGATTGGCTTCTGAGAATGTCTGTGAGGAACTGTGTTGATTACATGAATTAAAATGGGAAGATATATACTAAAAGATATAGGATGTTGGAGGGAAAAAGGTTTTTGCTTCTTGCCTGCTTACCTTCATGTCTCACTGGTGAGTTCATCTACCCTGTTGCTGCCACCACTGCTGCCCATCTTTGGATGAGGGCAGAGCTTAGCTTCTTCAGGCTTCCAAGGTGAACCAAAAACCAGTGGCTCTCCAGGACTCCTCCAGGCCTTTAAAGCTAGATTGAGACTGTTGAGGCACCCAGCCATGTGAACTGAGAAGCTGTCGGGTTCTCAGGCTCTCTAATGCAGGGACAGCCATTGTTGGACCACCTAGACTATATTGTGTAAGCCAATCTCGGTTCTAGTCCTCTAGAGAACACCGGCTATTACAATGACATTTGTAGCATCTATAATGAACTGGAGGACATTAAATAGGGTAAAGTAAGCAACATACTGAAAGTTGAACACTATATGTTCTCACTAATGTGGAAATAAAAAAAAATTAACTTCATGGAAGTAGAGCATGAAATAGAGGTCACTAAGTATGAAGAAGGGAGGCGGGTAGAGGTGGGTTCAGTCAGACGGGAGGGATGAGTTCTGTGTCTAGAGCGAGTAAGATGACTGTACTGCTCAACAACTAACTATGTGTTTTATATGGAGCTAGCAGAGAGGGCTTGGAAATTCTCAACACAGAGAAATAATAAACATTTAAGGACAAGAAATGCTGATTACTCCAACTTCATTACTACATATTGTTCATATGTATAAAATTATCACACTGTATCCCATGAATATATGTGTAATTGTTATATGTAGAAAAAAACCACAGTTCTTAGTATTTACCCAAGTGACATGGGGATATAGACATTCACAAAAATATCTGAAAAAGGATATTCTTAGCAGCATATTCATATTATTCAAAAGCTGGAAACAA